GTCGTGACAACCTGGGCAGTGTCTGCTCCTGATAAACACATAATAAGGTTATCAGGAACAGAAGTGCCCCCATCCTCACACCCAATCATCTGAAATGATGAGCAGTGGAACATTTCTCTCCAGAGGTGAAGGAGAAAACTCATCAATAGGCAAATCGGTAACTACTCGCCCAGATAAAGTATGCCACCCAAATGCAGGAGGCAATGTACTCTTTAAGCAGTTCCTTGACTATCACTGCCAGTTCCCTCCAGAATCTACATTTGTTGTAAAACAGAGTCATGAGAAACAAGTGGTGAAGAAGGGAAGCATGTCTGCAAGTTTGCATTAAAGACAAACAGAGGGAAAAGTGAGCAGAATGCCAAATTCATTAGGGATAGGCACATTGTCTTCAAAGGGTGCCATCAATCATGGACATAGCACAGGGTCCTAGATGGAAGGACATTGCCAAAACTGGTCACCAAAACTGTATGCAAAAGGAGCTCAGTGTTGGTGGTGGTATGTATGTTACATTTAGGCTCCAGATAACCCTCTGTTACATTTAGGCTCCAGATAATTTAGAAAGAGAAAAATCAGTTGCACTTTTTGTGATTTATCACTCATTCCTGGGAGACATTTACTGAATACCTACTGAGCACAATAAGGCATATATATAGCTAGGTGCTACAAAGGTTATACAAATGAACTAAACTTGGGCCATCACATTAGGGGATTTGGAATCCAGTTTGAGAAAGAAGATACATATTTAAGTAGGAAATTGCTAACAATTTTACCTGAAAGGCAAACCTGCAGCTCCTGATTCCAGTGAGCAGAAATTCATATCTACACTGTCATATTCCAGGCCCAGCTCATCTTGCCTTATGCTCAAGTGGTGGCCTGACCAAGCTATTCTGTTCCCTCAGATTTTCTGACATTCATACCCCATGTCTTTCCTTCTACTCTTCCCTCCCCTCCTTGTCTGGTAATCTGTAATTCATATTGTGAGACTATGCTCAAGTGACAATGAACAAACTGCTCCCATATCTATAAGCCTTTAGAGATCTATTCCCTGCTTGCTAGTCATGGTACACTTACAACTCTACTGCTTGCAAGAGGTAAATCCAGGGACCTATGTAAAAGAACACTGGTATAACCAGTTTCAGACTATTTGTGGAAGCACAGGAAGCCAGACTACTTTGGAAAAATGCTTTTATTTACTTAGATAGGGTCTTGTGTGGCCCAGTCTGATCTCAAGCTCTGTATGCATCTGAGGATATCCTTAGATTTCGGATTCTCTTGCCTCCACCTCCCCAGTGGTGGGATTCTAGTTGTATGCAGTGCTGGGAATGGAATTCAGAGCACTGAGTTTAACAAACAAGCACTCTAGCAACTGAGCTGTACCCTGAGCTCCAAGAGGTGCCATTTAGATAACTGTCAGAACCATCCTAGGTTTTTATGGCTTGATTAAATATTTGAAATAGTGTAGGGATCACAGGAAATTACAGAAAAGTGCCAGAGCTCCCATGTATCCTTGACCACATGTTCTCTGACATTTTTTTTTGTTTATAGGATATTTAAAATGTAGAAATCGATGTTGGTCTAACACTAATAACTCAAACACTAACCTTACTCAGATTTCATCATTGTCTCCATTTCCTCCTATGTGTTTTTACCAAATCATTTTGATAATGTCAAGTATTTTGTCAACTCATCTGGCAATCAATAAATCAATTCATGGGTTATATGAATATCAATGTGTCTCTCAGGCCCAGCTTTGAACAGGGCAAAAACCTGAAATAGTATGAGTCTGTCTAGGATTGAAAAGATAAAAAAATTAGCATGGATTAAGAATATATAGTTCTGCCATTAATCACACAAAGCCAGCTGTAACTACATGGAAAACTCGATTTCTCCCAAGGCTACCTAGCACTTGTGAAATGTCACAGGGTTCCTCCTCCTCCCTTAGGTGACTACTACCTTCCTACTAGAGATCCCAGACTTGCTTTGTTATTGATATTTATGACTGAGGATGCTCAATGACTAAGTCATACAAGAAATCTGGTTTTTTTCCAGCTATAGTCTTGTCTTTGGTAGTTTAGGGCTAATAAAGCTTCAACAAAGCAAACTGAAATGGCAACCAAACTAGGGCAATTAGACTTACCAGAAGTTGGCTGTATTTCCTTGAATGTACCTAGAAGCACACAGTGTAACTAAAACTGTGTGGTTTATGTAGCAGACCCCCTAATAGATTCTCAGTGCACTGACATGGGCTTGTCCTCTTCCTGCTGGATATGGGGACAAAAGTCTGGAGAGCACTGTTGCATAAAATTTCAGCTTGCCGGTTCTGTAATTAAATTGCTACATTCAAATTCCAGTTTCATTGTGTTATAACTTTAAGACCCTGGACAACATATTTGGCGCCATTGAACTTTTCCTCATCTGTGAAATATAATCCTCCTTCTTAGGGTAATTGGAAAGATTAACATAAATGCTTATAAAGAAGAAAGGTGTTACCGGCACTGGTTCTCAACCTCATTGCGCAGGAGAAATTACCTTTATAAAATGCTGCTGCCTGGGCCCTATTACTAAACGTTCTCATTTAATTTGATGGCATATATCTGAGCATCTGGGCTTTTAAAAATCCCCTCAGGTTCTAATCTTCTCAGATTCTAATGTGCAGCAAAATTTGGGAACCATTACATTAGGGATTTCATTGCTTAAGGATGATTGATCTTTCCTCTAAGAGGTTCATGGGTAATCTCTCCCTATCTCCCTTTTGGTGTATCTGACTTTTACAGGGCCACGAAGTAGAATAGGGGAATTTTCTCAAGAGACAGGCATTTAAATTCCTCCCTCTCTGTGATTTCACTAGCTTTTTCTTTACTGTATCTATCGTATAGCTTGCTGAACTTTAAAGCTCATACCACATGTGATGGCAACACACATGAATAATGGGGTAAAATCAGAGTTGTAGTCATCTTTCATTTCCCTCTTCCTAAACATAACTCAGTCCCTCTTCAAATCAAGTGATCTCAAATGTGAATTTTAAAATAAAGTTAATAATACCCAGGCAGCATTGGCTGACCATCACAGATGTGTTTAATGGATGGCGACTTCAATGTGCTGGTGTTTTACATAATTAAGCACCTGTTGTACCTCATGTTCAATCCTTATTTTGCTACAAAGCAGGAACTTAGAGCCAAATGTCTTTCTCTGGTGTTCCCTTTATGGGATCGATTGTGGAGGAGGGGTATTCAAACCCTTTGCATCCCCCAGCTCTTTTGATCATTCAAATGCATACATTGTCTAGTCAGTAAACACTAAATGGTAAGCAACTGGTGACTTTTAAGAATTAGATAGGAATTTCAAAGATATACATGGTGACTTTTTTTCAAAGTAGCTCACCACATCCCTGAGATCTGTACATTCCTTGTACATTCCTGCTGCTAATATGGGAAATTTACCAGATTCTTACTTCCTAGGCTAAAGTTTACTGCCAAAAAGGGAATAAGGCCCGTTGCTAGGCAAATTAATATTATATACATAGAAAAGTGACAGCCTGCTAGGGGAGTATGCTAACATACGGTTTTTAAGCGCCACTCTAAGTGCACTTTGCATTCAAATGACCAATATGCTAATTACAGCCCTTATCTGTTTGTTCTGGGTCTTAAGAGTCTCAGCAGCTCAATGCACAGACTGCAGCCAGCAGTTTGACTGCAGCTTTTTAGAAATAATAACATGGCATTTCTCTCAGCATATTTTCAAATTCAAGCTTCTTACAAATCAAGATTGGCCTTTCCCCTTTTCAGGGAATTAGTGAGGCTTAACAGTGTTCACTCTGGTGCAGTGCCGCCCCCCCCCATACCCCTGTGAACAAAGGCTCTTCCTCTGACTGGAGCGCAGCCTGTTGGGGCAGATTTCCATGGTAATTTGCGGGTCTCTTTTGAAAGATGTGGGGCGTCTTTGTAAATGAGATTGGTGGATGGCAGGGGGTAGAAAGGGTGTACTTTCTCACTAATCTTAGGATTGTCTTTGACCCTTTTTAATTTTCACCACCCTTGTAGGCTAGAAAGCACTCCTAGCACAGCTTTGTCCAATTGAAAGCACACGCTCCCTAATTCAGTTCTTAGGAGAAAGGCACAGAAAGCATTCTCCCTACCCCCAGTTAAAATGATCAGAAGAAACTTAGTAAGAGTAGAGGCACTAAGTGTTTGTCACTCCTTGCTTGCTCTATTAAAATTTGCCTCAAGGGGTGGGGCACCTCTGAAAGTATACCATTCTACACTCCACATAGCTTTCAAATTCCTTCCGTTCTCAACAAGGATGACACTGAAGAACATGCTAATCTGAATGAGGAAAAGCCTACTAGGCCTCAATCTTACACAACTCTAGGGGCAACTGAGGAGAGCTAGGAGCAGGAGAGGTTGCCCTCCTCAGAAAAGAGCACCAATTGGTTTGTCTAGTGCCAAATGGTCAGCCCTGAAAACATGATACAAGTAATGTTATATGGACTCAACAGGTTATATTTGGGAATATATAAGGGTATATAAATACGTATATGCATGCAATGACAATTGATGAAAAGAAGAGACCACAAATTTGAAGCAGAGCTGGGAGGGGGTGTGGGGGAGATTTTGTAGGGAGGAAAGGGATGGGAGAAACTGTAAATAAATGACAATCTCAAAAATAAAACTTTTGTCCTTTCCCTTCTTTGATTATTTTTTAGTAAAATCTAAACTACCTAGACTTGTTTTTAAAAAACTACTTCAGTATATTCCACATTTTAGGAATCTATCTCCTTCCTCTCCCTCCTTGCCTGCACCCCGGCTAACAGCATCATTCTATTCTTTCTACTGCTTATAAAACTAACACAATACACTTATTCCCTTAAAAAATGAGACTGGTCTTACTAACCATATGTGATCTTTCCTTCCAATGTTCTATTTTTCCTTCCAGAGACATCTTTCAGATACCAAAAGCCCCAGTGAATCACCACCCACTCCTGGGTCTGGGAGGGAGACAACCTGATTGACATTGTTTTGGACACAGTCTTAGAGCTTCATTTCTTGCTTTCTTCTGATATCTCCTTGTTTGCAGAGGATCCTCCTGGAATGGGCAATGACGCTTGGATCCAAGAATGAGCTGTGTAGATTGAAAATGTAGGAGTGACTGCAGGCATTTGGGAAGAACATGGAAAAGATTGCTTGGTGAAGACAAGTGGCAAATGATGCGACTGAAGATCCTTGGCATTTGGGTATGAAGGCACACGCTTATAGACCCAGATAGGCAGAACAGAAAGATAGAAAACTACATTGGACATAGCAGTCCCTCACTCTAGAGTTGGTAAAGTCCCTCACCAGCTAAGAATCTAAAAATCAAGAATTCCTACCCAATTAGCATTTGCTGTAAGATTGCCAACAGATAAGAGTTAATATTTGTGTGTGTGTGTGTGTGTGTGTGTGTGTGTGTGTGTGATTTTATGATAAATAGTAATGAACTAGACTGGAGGCCTAAAGTGTGGCTTTACTCCTTTCCCAGATATTTTCTGGGAATCTCACATACGAGAATTAATTGCCATTATAATCAAGATAGCCCAACTCTACATCTCTATACTTTTACCTTATTATTAGTTGTAATTTTGTCAGGTACAGTCTAAGGACTATCTCTGATCTCATGTAAAGTCTTTAGTGACCCTTTTTATGTAAGTAATAACTTGAAAAACCGCCCAAATCCTATATGTGACTATTTTAAAGAGGATGAAATATGACTTCCCTTTGAGAAACCCATACACAGACTTTGGTATGACCTATTTTGCCTATGTACCTCTCTTAAACTTTCTGTGGAGAAGCCAAGGATCTAGTTCTGTCTGAGTCAAATTTCCTAAATGATTAAGGGAACTTCTTAGGCTGCTGGAGCAATAGAGTGGATCTGTACCTCCATCTCTACTGTTACTGACATCAACACTGAAGAGGTGGAGGCACAAAGATTGGAGGTTTGAGGCCAGCCTGGGGTACTTAGTGAACTCCAGTCTCAACAAAGAAAAACCCAACCAAACAAAAGAGTTCTGCCCTCTCCTGAAGGTTGGTTTCCAGGCACAACAGAGCCAGGGTCCTCAGTCACTTACAACACGTTTCAGGTTTCAAAGTCTGACTTCCTTGTTTAATCCATGTGTACAGAAGAATTTTCTTCAACTCCAACAAGCTTAAAACAAGCTAAGGCTTTTAATTAAACAGAAATATTAAGGTGCCTCACAGAGATGACGACCCTCAGTTTTTGGTTAATTGTAATTTTACCATATTAGTAGTCTGGGCCAGTCTTTGTTTCAGAGCATCTGTCTTTGCTGCCCTGAATTTTGATACCTTCCCATTTAGAAGGCTGGAGGAGACAGTGGGGACAGGGAACAATCTCATAGCAATTTTAGCTCAATCCTCAGATATCTGATTAAAACAGACTGGCTGAAATGAAAAACTGTTTTTCAGCCTGGGGACTTTGATAAGCTATGATATAGTGCTTTCTTTTTAAAACAGCATTGCTATTTTAAAATAATTATATTTTCATGGTTAGCATTAGTGCATATTAACTGGATAAATAGTAGATTTCATTACATTTTCATACATGTACATAAGGGCCTTTGATAATATCACCCTCTAATTATAAACAAACATTTGTCATTCTCCCCTTCCCACTGGTCCCTTTTCTACTTCCTTCAAGTCTGACTGTTTTGAAAATAACATCCAAGAATAATGCAGACAGATCAGATGCTACTGATACTAAATGTCAAATACATTTTCTTCTATGGAGACTCTTCTTGGAACATTTGGGTGAATGGTGTTTCTATATTGGCCAATTCAGAGAAATGAACTTGGCCAATTACTTTATAGGTCATTTGAAAAACTCACAAAGAAAGGGGAAATATTTTTTCAAATAATTCTTCGGACCAAAAGACATAAAGAAAGTACATAACAAAATGCAAGATACCTCATACTCTCTTGACTTCACAAAAGGATATAGTTCTAAAATTTCTGAATGAAAAGGACAAATTACAGAAAAGTATAGAGACTGGAGGACTCACTTGTCAACACAAGATAGTCTGAATGTAAGACATCCATAAGCTTGACACCGAGCTTATCAGTTGCTGTACTGAACTAGAAAACAATTGGATGTCATTTAAATTGGGGTTTCTATTGCTCTGATGAGACACCATGACTATGGTAACTCTTATGAAAGAAAATACTTAATTGAGGTGGTTGCTTACAGTTTCAGAAATTTAGTCCATTGTCACCATGATGGGGAGTATGGTGGCATGAAGGTAGACAAGGTGCTGAAGGAGCTGAGAGATGTACAACTTGATTCACATGCAACAGGAAGTGAACTCTCTACCACACTGGGTATACCTTGACCATATATGAGACCTCAAAGCCTGCCCCCACTGTAACACATTTCCTCCAATAAGGCCACACCTACTCCAGCGTGTCTACAGTTCCTAATAGTGCCACTCCCTATGGGAATCATTTTCTTTCAAACACCCACAGATGCCATCCATCCACATCACAAAGAGGAAGGCAGACCACAAGAAAGCAACCTGGGGGAGAAACAACATCACATGAATAATTTGAACTGGGGTACAACACAAAAATCAATAAGGGCAGAAGATGAAGAGGCTATATAGTGCATATCTGAAGTTGCCTCACAATTGGGAATGAACATTTACAGCCCATGCTTATTGTCATTTAATTTAACAGTTCATGACTTCCCTTTAAGAGTACATAGGTAAGAAAATTCATTAGCTCCAGTGACTCAATAATATTTCAAGTACATTAGGTTATATGTGATAGAGTGGCATGCCATTAAGCTGGCTTTCCTGAAACAGGCCCCGCTCTTAACCCTTCAGATGCTTATAAATACAGCTAATTCTGGAAACAGTGGAAATAGGCTTGCAAGAAATATAGGACAGACATTATACTGTATTATAGCCCACGCTGGACATTTCATGTGCATATTTGAATGCACTAACCAGCTATTCCACTGGCACGTTTTGAATTTGCTGAATATACTCTCAAAATGCAAGCTGAAAATGGTGGCACACATTCGAAATTCTAGCACTTAGCAGACAGTGGCAGGAGGACTGTCAGTTTGAGACTAGGATAGACTATATGTTGAGACCCTATCTCAACAAACAAATATTCATAAGCTAATTTAAAATATAATTTAAAAAGAGTTTAAATGGGGGGGGTGCCCTCCATGGGTAGATACCACTGCTTCCAGAACCCATAGGTTATTAATTGAAAATCTCAGTGCCGTAATGAGTTGCCATTCTATGAGTTGTTCATCATGGAGGCTCTAGAGGCCTCCAAAATAATACAAGCCATTGCCATTCTTCCTAGGTGCTCAGAAGCACTAGACAGTAAGACCCTACTACTGAAGTAATCGTACACTTGGGTTATAGGACATAGAGAAATCAAACAGGAACTCAACTAGAAGCTTCTATCCCATTGGTCAACTTTCATAGGGCTGGAAGGCGCTATTCAGTCTGCTGGGGCAGGGGAAGTCATCAATAGTTTGATTAGCTGTGAAATCTGAAAGCTGCAAAACCAACCTTTCAGGCGAGATGTGTCCACCACAGCAACAGTAGGATGACAACATGGGAATAACCAACTACTTTCTGACTGGATTTGAGGCAAAGGAGAGAATGTTTCATGGGAAAGAATTTGCTCCTGCTGGGCGGTGGTGGCGCACGCCTTTAATCCCAGCACTCAGGACGCAGAGGCAGGCGGATCTCTGTTAGTTCCAGGACAGCCTCCAAAGCTACAGGGAAACCCTATCTCGAAAAAACAAAAACAAAAACAAAATAGAATTTGCTCCTGATACTATAAACCTAGTAAAAAAAAAAGTTCGTGGCTGAAGAGTCCATAAGACCTGGTGAGAAGTCCGCTATTGCTTTGCTTAATAGACAGGCTGTCAAAACTGTTTTCTAATATTTATCTTTCTACCCGCAAATTAGTGCTGATCTTAGCTGTGGTCAAAGAAGTTTCTGTGAACAATAAGCAATGGTCAAAAACAGAGATTCAGAACTGGTCAAAATGCTGAGAATAAGTGACCTTTGTGGGTACTGAATGGGACAACTAGGTGACCTGCTACAATACTCAAGGAATATTACAGAAGAAAGGGCAGAAGGAATGTAGAAGTTGGAGGATGGGAAGAAGTGCCGAAAAGGTGTCTTTTGGACATAGCAAGGCCATTATACTCATGAACTCATTGCAGCTGTCATTACCTGTAAAATATATACACAAAGTGGGGCATGTCAACATTCTAATGTACAAGGGGGGAGCTCATAAGTCCCCACTACTTCCTGAGGAGCTGAAAACATTGTATCATGGAAGAGGGAGCTTATGATGCCCACTACTCCCTGAGGAACTGTTGGCAGTAATGGTTGCTAATGGCTGGGGGGTTATTTTCAGCAGTGGTGTAGCCACTGGCAAGTTGTCCATGCTCCATTGGGTAATTTGTTTACTTACTATTGAGTTGCTTGAGTTTCTTATAAATATATTGGAAGTTAAACCTTGATCAGATGTAAATTTGCAAATATTTTCTTCTTTTCTATATGTATTTTCTTCACTTTATTGTTGTCCAGAAGTTTTATTTTATTTTACTATTAGTTTGATATAATTTCATTTCCCTACTTTTGTTAATGTTGCTTAAAAAAACTCATTCCTCAGTCTATGTCATACAGCATTTTCCCTATGTTTGCTTCTGGTACTTTTACTGTTTTAAGTTTGATCTTTAAGACTTTAATCTACTTTATCTTGATTTTCATATAAGACAAAATATGACTATGTAATGCAATATTTTAGTCACTATTCTATTGCTGTGAAGAGATACCATGACCAGAGTAACTCTAATAAGAGAAAGCACTCAAATGGAAGTCTGTGTACAGTTTCAGAGGTTTAGCCCATTATCATTATGGCAGGGAGCATGGCAGCATGCAGGCATTGGGATTTTAAAACTTCAAAATGACTTACTTCTTCCAACAAGGCCACACCTCTTAATCCTTTCAAGCAGTTCCATTCCCTAGTGACTAAGCATTCAAATATATGAGCCTTGGGGTCATTCTTATACAAACAAACACATCTTTGCATGTAGAT